AAAAAAATCAATAGATGTATTTACCCAGACTAATCAAAACAAAAAGGCAAATTACCAATATTAGTAATGGAAGGGGGAAATCACGACAAATCATTTAGGCAATAAAGGAATAAGAAATATTATGAAGGAATTTTATTTCAATTAAGCTTATTTTTTAAACGAAAGGGATTTTAAAGAACACAAATTACCAAAGCTGATGTGTGTGAAACCAAATTAGATTCATGTATGTTTAAAAAATTGAATTTGGAATTAAAACCTTTGTGCATGCGGTTTTACGGGGGAAACCTATCAAATATGTGATGTACAAATAATACCAAAATAAACTCATTCAACATGAAGAAATACAAACCAACCCATTTAATGAGGCCAGGATACCAAAAATAGACAAAGATATGCAAAACAGTAAATAAATATACATACCAATAGCTCTCGTGCATATAGGCATAAAAATTATTTTGAATGTCCAGTAAATTAAATACAGCAACAGATTTGAAAGACTGGCACATCATGACTAAGTTTATCCCAAGAATGCAAGGCTGGTGAAACATTTGAAAATCAACGTAACTCACTATTTTAAGAAAAAAGAGAAATCATATGATCACCTTTATAGGTGCCGAAAGGCATTTGACAACATTGATTACCCATTAATAATTTGTAGAAGTTTTTCAGCAAACTAGTAAGAAAATGCATTTTCTTTAATAAAATAAAGGGATCTATGAAAAACCAGCAGTTCTTCCTTAACTACAAGATTGCGGGTACAAAGGCACCATTCACTCAGCAGGAGAAAGATGAGGCGTTCCACTCCAGCAAAGACTTACCATCTTGAAAGTCCACAAGGGCAGTTCTATTCTGTCCTAGAGGATCACTAGGAGTTGGAATCGGCTCAATGGCAATGAGTTTGATTTTTGGTGGACTTTGGGGTTTTTTTAAGTTATGAAAAACCTACAGCTACTAAGTCATTCTTAAAGATGACAGACTGAATACATTCCAGAAAGATCAAATACAAAGCAAAGAAGTCTACTGCTACCACTTCCATTCAACGTGACATTCGAGGTCCTAAAAGGTACAGAAAGCAGGAAAAATAAATAAAAGTCACGCAGACTGAAAGGATAGAAGTAAAATTATCTTTACTTGTTGACAACATGATTGTAGAGAAACCTAAAAAAAAACACCTATAAAATAATTACTATCACTAAAAAGCAAATTGAGTTATAATCATAGGATAAAAGTCAACATACAGAGAAATCAACTGAGTTCCAATTTTGAGCCGCAAACAATTAGAAATTGAAGGCTTTTTTGCCTGTTTTGTTTTTAACAGCCTTTACAATAGCAACTCAAAACATGAAATACTTAGGGATAAATTTAACAAAATTTATTTAACACAGACTCAGTTAATTTTCAACAAAGGAGCCAAAGCAATTTAATGTGAAAAGTACTCTCAACAAATGGTACTAAAACAATTGAATATTCATAAAGGAATAAATGAACTTCAACACCTTCCCACTTTATACACAAGTATAAAAAAATCAAGATGGATTATAGACTTAAGACATCAAAACTAAAATTAAACTCTACAAATATAAAACATAAGCTAAGCTATAAGCTATACACTATTATAAATAAAAACTAGAACAATAAACCATTTAAAAGAAAAAATAGCTTATCTTAACATTAGTGAAGGAAAAGGATTTTCAGACTGGGACCAGAAAACACTAACTGACACTTTAAAATATACATTTTTAAGTACAAATTACACTTCAACAAAATTAAAATATCTTTTTAATTGAAGGACATTGTTAAGACATTAGACAAGTCACAACTGGGGAAACTATTTACAAAACTATTTGACAAAGAACTTGTACCCATAACATATAATCCCGTCAAATCAACAGTGAAATTTGTTTATGAAGAGAAGACTGAAACAGCACTCCAGAAAGATACACAAATAGCCAACAGGCACATGAAAAGTGGTCAACATCTCTAAATTTAAGGGACACACAGAGTGAAGCCATTACCGATCACTGCATACACATTAGAGTAACAAATGTAAAAGGCAAGGAACACCAACTGTGATTCATATGTTGCTGGTGGGAGGGGAAAATATATAACCAATTTTGTGATCAATGTACTATTTTCATTAAATTAAACATAACTACTTTTATATTCAACTTAACACAGAAATTCCCTATCTATACCCATGAGAAAAACAAGACATTAAAAAAGAGATGTAAAAGAAATTTTTCTTAAAGTTTGTATAATAAGAATATTCATAGCAGCTTTAATCAAAATGGTTTGGGGGAAAAAAGAGATAACACTAATAATCATGGAAAGGAAATTAGTAACAATATTAGTATATTAAATACACTGGGGTTAACTATCCATCCCTACTAAGTGCAGGAAACATAACAAAATTTCTTCCTTTGTGTGAGTCAGACAGAAACTACTTGATGGCAGTGAGTCTGGTTTTCTTAAGAGCATGTAAGACGACAGATATTGAAGAGGTGGACGCAAGTCCCTAGTGCAGGAATTCAACTTAGACGGAGAATGAGGCCCTGCCTATTTACATTAAAAACAGCACGGTTGAGAGGAGTGTTCCACGCAGGATATAGGAAGGTCTTTAAGCAATATTTTTTTTAAAATTCAACATATGAGATGAATTTAAAGAGGTTTAATACGACAAAAGGCAGAAGTTAAGAACTACATTATGGTTTTGATTCTGCTAGTCAAAGAGAAAATAAAGGCACAAGAAGGCAAGAACATTATAGATGCTTACAAAAGAATCGTTGAGGTAAAGAGCCCTAATGTCTAGGACACACAGGAGAGGGAATAAAACCAAGCCAGTGCAGAATCCCGAGGGGACACAGAATTGAGATCTACTAGGGGATAAGAAGGTAAAAGTTAAGAGGAGTAACAGAATTTGAAAGAAAACCATAAGGGTTTGTGTGTGATTTTTTTCCTAGCTGTGCTTCAAGATTCAAACTTTCAACTCTTTATGGAGAAAATCAAGAAGATAACTAACATAACTTTTATAACTAGGTATCTGTAAATCAACACACAAGCAATCCTAACAGAGATCAGTGTTGTCCTAGAAGAGATCTTCAAAAGTATACCTAATACAAAAACTTCATGTAATTTAATTTTGCCTTTTCAAATGTGATTTCTGTCACTATTTCACTATATCTGTCCAGGAACACTTATTTGAGGTAGTCAGGCTGTAAATATTTTGTGCAATTTCTTCCATGAACTTGCAATATTACTTAAAACAAAATGGCTTACCCTTCTGGTTGGAAATCTGATATCTTATAAAGGAGTTACTTACAGGGACATTAAGTGCATACTGTAGTCCTTGAGGAAGTCTTTCATGTGTCTCCATCTGCTCTTCGTCATTTTTCACTGTCTCTTCATGGACCATGAGTTCATCGTGTGAGATCATATCCTGCTGTCTCATTTCACTTTCTTGCAACACTTCATCTGCAGCAAGCATCTCCTGGTGAGGCATACTCCGATCCTGAAGCACTGACTCCTGCAGTTCCCCAGACACGGTAGATTGGCCAGACACTCCACCCATTACAACCACTGCCCTGGAAGACTGCATTCCGTCTATGCCGCCACATTTAAGGAACAATCCTTCCAGTTTGTCGTCAATGTTCATGCTTAAGTATAACTGCCTAGAAAGACCAAGTTTGGCAACAAAGCATAATAAATTAGTTTTATGTCTACTTAATTTTTTCTTATTTAACTTATGAAAGACACATATTCAAAGATAAAATATTTATTCATGTAATTCAGAATGCCTCCAATTATAAAATTACCACGTTAAGTTTCCAAAGGCTAGCAGAAAGACAATTTTTCCCATTCTTTATTAACCTAAAATTGAAAGATTAAATCATCATCTATTTCACTAATAAAACAATGAGCCTGACATAAAGCAAATTAGAGAAAAGTATAACTAGAAACACGGGGTACGCATTCTTTTCATTAAGGTGCCCTTTAAGTAAATAATGAGATTAATTCAATAATAATCAGGCAAAACAACTGCAGGCAAATAGTTTTTTAAATTTTAGAAAGGCTTAACACGCATATAAAATATTCATTTAAACTAGCAATCAAAAGAAAAAATACAGGTATCAAATTTCGTCCATTGAACTAGCAATGACTCTTTTAAAACACAGTCAATGTTGAAGTGGTTAAAAAGAGGGTGAAGTCATTTCATCCACTGCTGGTGTAGTATAATAAATGAGTTTAGCTTTTTCAAGGCAATATGGAAGTATATACCAAAAGGCATTAAAATATTCATATCCTTTGAATGATTAATTCTACTTTGGGGACTTTTTCTGATAAATCTGAAATGTATATAAATATACACATGGAAAATCAGTATTTATAATAGTAAAAAATTTAAAAGATATTACACACTCAGAGACTGGTTAAAATATGTCCATGCAAATGTATTAAAACTGGTTTAGTGTGATCACTGGACAACTCATTAAATATACTCCAATTCTTGTACTGCGCACTTAAAATGGGTAGATCTTAGTCTTATATAATTAACTCTCAATGGAAGTCTTTTCCAGAAACATCAGAATTCCCCCACTGGGTTGGGCTGAGGAAAGGGAAGCTGCTGCTACGAGGCAGGAAAAGGAGGGATGTTCTTCCATGAACTGAATGCTGGATGCACAGGTGCACTAACTTGGTGAAAATTCAAGATGTGTATTTTTCTCTCAGCTATTGTAAAACAGTTTATGCAAAACTTTCATAATCTTTCTATTCCAATTTGTCATGCACTTTTATATACTTTACTAAAAGAGCCAAAGTCTACTTAAATTTGAAAAACTTGTTTTAGTTTAATAACTGTAGTTATTAAAATATCCTCAAGAAATATGTGAAGATGAGAGAAATCATCCCAATATATTAAGGGGAATATGTGTACCTATGTGTGTGTGAGTGTATACTATTTATCTATGCTGTAAAAGCTTTTAATGTTACCATTAGATGGTGAGATTACCAGCTTAGCTTTCTTATTTATATTTATCTCTTTAATAAAATGTAAATATTTTTAAAATTTTGATAAAACAAAATATGTATTAGAGTATCTTTAAATGGTTACACAATAAATATAGTGATAAGAAATTAACTATGCTATTAAAAACATCTTATTTTATCATTACAGGAAAGATGCAGTATTTTAAACCTACCCTTCTAGCATTGGTTGCTGCAAATTAATATTATTACATTGGGTTATTTTATCAGTGGAACAATAAACATGAAACTCAAAGAAACTTCATCTGAAAGATCAAAGCACTGGTATGAAACATTTCTTAAAAACAATTTCTAGTATCAGACTGTGTGAAATAAACATTCATATACTACCCAACATGAAGGAGTTACAATCAGTTAATGCATAAATTACGTTTCATTTTAGGTATCTTTTTCCCAAATTAATCACATGGATATGGTCTTGATCATACATTGATCAAAGGTAGTTAATACACGATTAGTAAAATCCAAGTACGTGCGTGAAACCTAAACACATTTTCATTTACTAAGTCTATAATCCAGAAAGAGACTTTAAGTGAATGGCTCAAAACGCTTATAAACAGCAACCTAAACTAAACAAAAACATAGCTCGTACTTGTTTATCTTGTTCTCCCGGGTACCAAGTATTATGAGCTTAGAATATATGCAGGACAAAGGACCAAGAGTCTGATTTCATTTTTCAAAATCTTTAGGTGGCAAACTTGCAATCTAGAGAACAAAGATTTTAAGTTTATCATCAAACAACCATTCTCTTCAAATATCTCACTTATCTTATTCTTAACAAAATTATAGTTAAATGAAACTTAAAAACCTTTGAAGGCTGAAATATGTTTATTCTTACCATTTCTTTGAGAATTCTTATAAAATCAATATACTCTTTTCTAAAATGCTTACTGTTCTCCTCAAGGGTCCATACAGCCCCCAGTTTCACAGTGACTGACACTCACAGAGAGCCACCTTTCATTATTGCTGCCACAACTGGTTTTGTCTGGGAGCATTTGCAGGGCTCCTTTTTCCACTCTGGACCCCTCTCAGCTTGAGAAATTTGCAACACTGGCAAGGGCTGCCAGAAACACCTCACATTCATGACCCACTTGGTTTTTAATTAATTTTTGGTTGGACTGTTACTGTTGCCAAAATTTTCATGACCCCTATGCTCACTTATGCAACCTCAGGTTGGGTAGGGACTCACAGTTTAAGAAGCTTTGGGTTAGAAAACATGGGGGGGACATAGAACTTTTAAAAGAAAAGCAAAAGCTGACCTAGTGCAGATGATCAGGTTACCTACGCCCCCCCACCACACCCCACCCAAAAAAAAAAGCCAGTCAAAGCAGAAACTAGCTAGACCTAACTCCAGGTTTACAATTTCCCCTAAGAAGTGGTCTCCAGTGTTCTTGATCAGGCGTCCCCATAAATCAGCAGTTCTCAAACTGTGACTCGTGAACCTTTTAGGGACTGAACGACTCTTTCACAGGGGTCACCTGATTCATGATAGTAGCAAAATGACAGCTATGAAGTAGGAACAAAAATAATTTTATGGTTGGGGGTCCCACAACATGAGGAACTGAATTAAAGTGTTGTGGCACTAGGAAGGTTGGGAACCACTGCCATAAATTAATATACTCTAATATATGCACAGCATTAAAGCTATATTCCTACATTACTGTGCCAGTTAATTATTTGCATATTAAAAACAGGGATGAAATAAAACGTTTTACTATCCTCAACCCAAACATCAAGTTGAAACAGTAAGTACCGAGCACATACTTTGGGCAAGAGAATACTCCGGGAAAGGAGAGGAAAGTCTAGGGGATTATAAGGAAGGATGAGAATGCACTTCAAAAACACTAGTAAACGGAGAGCAGACATAATGTAAGTGCAAGACAAACTAAACCTCTTTGCAATTTTTTCTGAAAACAGGCCACAGAAAAGAATAAATCTCCCTTCCTTTTTTCCATTGAGTTGAGCTCTGGTGGTGTGGTGGGATTAAGCACTGGGCTGCAATCCACAAGGTCAGCAGCGCAAAATGACAAGCCACTGCAGGAGAGAAGGACAGGGTTTTCTACTCAGGTAAACAGTGACAGTCTCAGAAACCCAGAGGGGTCACCACAAGTCAGCACTGCCTTGATAGCAGTGAGTTTGGTATCAGTTTGGCTTACTTCTAAGGCCCCAAAACTTAGCCATACATTTTGGGTTAAACTGTTTACTGGTAGAAATTGTCTTTTTGAGACAACTTCCTTGGTATCAATCATTACCAGACTATTATCAATGAATACTGTGCAGGCAAGGTTTTAAAATACACCCTGGAAATAGCTCCATGTTCCAGCAATTGAGCAATTTCATTACCAGGAATATACACAACGCAATGGTTTAAATCAAGGTGCCCTGGTGCATTGGACTGTGATCTGGAGAATCAGCAGTTCTAAACTACCAGCTCCTCCACAAGAGAAAGATGGGGCTTTCTGCTCTGGTCAAGAATTACGTCTCAGAAACCTACGGGCAATTCCATAAGGTCACCATGAGTCAGTATCAACTAAATAGCAACATGTTTGGCTTTTGTTTTTTTGAGTTTATTCAGGAACTCTGGTGGCATAGTGGATACGAACCCACCTTGGGGGCTTGCTTACCACAAAGTCAGCAGTTGTAAACCACAGCGGCTCCATGGGATAAAGAGGAGGCTTTCTACTCCTATAAAGAGTTACAGTCTCAGAAACCCACATGGATAGTTCTACCCGGTCCAGTAGGGCTCCCTGGCCATGAACAGTATCAGCCTGTTGATGACAGTGAGGTTGTTTGATAGTTTTTTGGGGGGTTTTTTTGGGTAAAAGTGACCCAAGGGCATCCATATAAGAATGCTGGTGCAACATAGCATCTGTGGTCTTACAGGCCTGAAGGTAAACAAGCGGCCATCTAGCTGAGAAGCAACAAAGCCCAC